ACGAGGCGGCGAAGGCGATCAAGAAGTTCAAGGCGCATGCGGAGGCGAAGAGCGGCAAGAAGCTGAGCGTGCTGCGGACTGATCGCGGCGGCGAATTCACTTCTTCGCTGCGTACTGCGTGGATCAGGGTGTGGTGCGACACCACACCGCGTCATACTCGCCACAGCAAAATGGTGTGGTGGAGTGGTGGAACCAGACGGTAGTCAGCATGGCTCGATCCATGATGAAGGACAAGAGCATGCCGACAAGGTTCTGGGGTGAGGCGGTGACCACGGCGGTGTTCATCCTCAACCGCGCGCCCACCAAGGCCCTGAAGGGCAAGACGCCGTTCGAAGCTTGGTATGGGCGCAAGCCGAGCGTGTCCTTCCTCCGGACATTCAGCTGCATTAGTCACGTCAGTAAGACAAAGCCGGTCCTCACCAAGCTGGAGGACAGGAGCACACCGATGGTGCTTCTGGAGTACGCGGAAGGTACCAAGGCGTACCGGCTCTATGACCCACGCGGAGGCAAGGTGGTTGTCTCGCGCGATGTCGTGTTCGATGAGAAGGCGGCCTGGGACTAGAACAGTCCGGGCACGGGGGAAGCTGGCGGCTTCACCAGCACCTTCGTCGTCGAGCACTTGGTCATCCACGGTGGTGCAGACGCTGGAGAGGAGCTGCCGACCACTCCAGCAACAGAGCCGAGCACTCCTAGGGCAGTGCCGAGCACTCCAGGAGGGGTGCCGAGCACTCCAGGAGGGGTGCCGAAGCGGTCTGCGCAGTCTTCTTGACCACTCCCGTAGCGGAGCCGAGAGATCTTGCAGTGGTGCCGACCACTTCAAGACTGGTGCCGAGCACTCTGCAGATGGTGCCGACAACTCCAAGAGTGGTGACGAGCGGTATAGGAGTAGTGTCGAGCACTGCAGCATGGGTGCCGAGCACTCCAGGTGCTGTGTCGACCACTCCGGTGGAACAAGGGACTCCATCGACGTCGATCGAGTTCGCCTCACCTCCAAGCGACATCACCGAGTTCGTGGATGCCTTCCACGACGGTGAGGAGTTGCGGTTCATTGGTCGGGCGACATCGTCGACGCAGCACAGAGGTCCTCGAGCTGGCGGGTCGGCCGCTCAATGACTCGAGCTGCTTCGTCGGTCTCAGAGGAACCACCTACGTTCTACCGCCGGCGCTGCGCGATGCAAATTGGCGACGAAGCGTCTTTGGAGGAGATAAAGACAATCAAGGAAAACGAGACTTGCGAGCTCATCGATCCACCTCCGTGATGCCGCTTCGATCGGCCGAAGTGGGTGTACAAGGTCAAGCGGGATGAGCGTGACGCCATTATCAAGCACAAGGCGCGCCTCATCGCCGAAGGCTTTGTCCAGCGCGAGGGCATCGACTTCGAGGAAGTCTTTGCGCCGGTAGCGCGCATAGAGTCTATCCGACTGTTGCTGGCTTTGGCAGCAGTGAAGGACTGGCGCGTCCATCACCTGGACGTAAAATTGGCCTTCCTCAATGGCGAGCTGGCGGAGACGGTCTTCATCAGGCAATCTCTGGGTTTCGCCGTCAAGGGAGCGGAGCACAGGGTGCTCTGATTGTGCAAGGTGCTCTACGAGCCGCGGCAGGCCCCGCGAGCGTGGAACACCAAGCTTGACGCCACACTGGGTGAGCTTGGGTTCACGCGGTGTGCAACCGAGCACGCGCTCTACACGCGGCGATGGGGGAAGGAGGAGCTCGTCGTCGGCGTGTATGTGGACGACTTGATCGTCACCGGCGTGCGTGCGAAGGACATCGACAACTTCAAGCACGAGATGGTGGCTCGTTTTCGAATGAGCGATCTCGGCGCGCTCTCCTATTACCTCGGCATCGAGGCGAGACATGGGAAGGAGGCGCTCACACTTGGTCAGAGTGCGTACGCCTCGAAGCTGTTAGAGCAGAGCGGCATGGCTGAGTGCAAGCCTTGCGTGACTCCGATGGAGGACCGGCTGAAGCTGACGAAGGTCAGTACCGCGGCGAAGGTAGATGCAACACTCTACCAGAGCATCGTCGACGGTCTGCGCTACCTAGTCCATACGAGGCCGGACATTGCGTTCATCGTGGGCTACGTCAACCGCTTGATGGAGGATCCCCGAGAGGATCACTGGGCTGCGGTGAAGCGGCTGCTGCGCTACGTCAAGGGGACGGTGGATCAGGTGATCGTCTTCCCAGATACCGGCGGAAGTAGGCTGCAGCTCACTGTGTTCAGCGATGCAGACATGGCGGGGGAAATCAACAGACGGCGGAGCACCTCTGACGTGCTCGTCTTCCTCGGGTCGGCTCCAATCTCATGGTTGTCGCTGAAATAGAAGGTGGTGGCGTTGTCCACGTACAAGGCAGAGTACGTGGCGGCGGCCACAGCGGCGTGCCAAGCTGTGTGGCTGCGCCGGCTGCTGGGCGAGCTGACCGGTGTGGAAACTCATCGACCAGCACTGATGGTGGACAACCAGCCCACCGTCGCCCTCGCGAAGAATCCGGTTCTCCACGACCAGAGCAAGCACATCGACGTCAAGTTCCACTTCCTCAGGGACTATGTCGATGGAGAGCAGATCGTCATCGAGTTCGTCGAAACTGGTCGGCAACTCGCGGACGTCCTCACCAAGCCGCTCGGCCGTCTCTGGTTCACGGAGTTGAAGAAGATGATCGACATGGTGGAGGTTCTAGGGTTAGCAGTAGGATTAGGGAAAGAATTGTTAAGTAATCTGTTGCTCACCTCTGTACGCGCGGCAGGGGCAGGCGCCGAAAGGGCTCCCCTGCTGCTGCACTGTAGCCGCGGCAGGGGCAGGTGCCGAAAGACTCTCCTGCCACACTGTAGCCATAGTAGGGGCAGACGTCAAAGTCAGACCTGCTGTCACATCTAGTCACTGTAGCAGCATGGAAACTGACATGTCTGTGTATTAGGATTAGTTGGGTAGAGTTATATTTATAATTTTCCACTATAACTCAGTAAAAAGAGCGAGTTCAGTTTTGCCATCTCCTCTGTAGAGCTCCGGCCAACGCTGGTGCTTGTGCTGTGTGTGTGCGCTCTGTTCTCCCTCCCTTCTTCTACATCTAGCCATAGTGACCGGTCGGCCACGATGGTGAACGGTCGACACACCCGTGCTGGAGATCCAGGGCCAACAAATTGGTCTTAAAGAGAAATCCATAAGAAGTCTTTGCAGAGCACACTACCTAAATTTTATATAAGCTGAGTAAAGCAGCAGGGTAGGCACAATCCGTCGGTCGAACAAACAAAAAAAAATCCTAGGCAGCCGGAGATCGTACTAAACTCGTTAGCTCCTCCGAACGGCAAAAATGAAGCGCAACCCAACCACCACCGGCCTGCTGTTGCTGCCGCCGCCAAGCCCCACCCCCCAAACCCCACCCCACCCCAATATCAATCAACAGATTGCAAAATCACGCTATGTCCATAGGTGTGGTATGCATGGTATGGACTAGGTCGATCGAGAAGAAATTGGTATGAAAAAAAAAGATAACACACCTCGTCGTCCTCTGGAATTGGGCGCAAGCCGGTGCCATCGAGCCTGACAAAAATCCCTACTTCTAGCCGATTCGCCGGACCTTGACTGTACTTTTTTCAACCTCTTAGCACCCCCTCTCATGCCTGACGATGCACAAGCGGGATAGGCTGGAGATGCGGACTAAAGAAACCCTAGAAGGCAACCTAATGCGGCGCGGTATGAAAATGTGGCGATGCGCGATTCGAGGAGTCCCGAGTTCAAAACAGTAAAAAGAGAAGTGTGTTGTGCACGCAAGAGATTGGGGTTGTTTGCTTTGAAGACTGGAATCCTTCACCCAGGCCGTCGATTTCCCGCGCCTGGGGCTGGATCGACTTCCTAGGCCAGGTCGTCATCCGAACGACTGTGACGTCCTCCTCCCAGGCTCCCACTCTCTTGTGTTGACGGCCACGAGATGGCCCGCGGTGCGCGTAGGAAGCCTGAGGCTGTCCGGCGAGTACCACTGCAACCCGGCGCGGCTAGGTGAGCTGGGCGCGCTCCTGACGAGCCTGGACGTGGGCGACCGCGACCGTCGCAGTGGTACTCGCCGGACAGCCGCAGGCACTCCTCCTACGCACACCGCGGGCCATCTCGTGGCCGTGAACACAAGAGAGTGGGAGCCTGGGAGGAGGACGTCGTCTCGTTGGCATTTGTGTACTGTACGTATACGTACCACTTGTCTGAAGTCGCTGCCGTGCAGGCCCTGCAGGATGTCCAAGAGGCGCGCGACGAGGAGCGTCTCGTAGTCCGCCAGGCGGTCGTCCGCGGAGGACACCTTCGTCTCCGGGTCCGGCGCAAGCTGCCGGAGCTGGGCGTCGATGGGCCGGCGCTCCTCGACGCCGCTGGCGGTGGCTGCAGGCCCGGTAATCTCGCCCGCCGCCTTTGTCGCTGCCGCCGTGGACAGCATCTGAACGGTGGGCCGTGCTAGGGTCAGCCTCCACCGCAAGGGGAGACCCACGAAGAGGGGTCAAGGGCGCGAGATGGAGGGAGGCTACGGTGCGTCGCGTCGTGTCCGAACGGGACATGGGAAGAAGTACGTACGGCGAACTAAAAGGAAAACATGAGTTGGCAGGGTAATGCAAATGAGTTGCCAGGGTAATGCAAATGAGACTTATCGCTTCAGAATTATTGCCCTCGTTGATGGCAGTTAAAAGGACAACTTTTTGCAACATCATGGTCCATCTTATTATCATTGTAAAAAAATTAATACAATGATAAAAAGATAGCTTAGTATGCTTATTTTATCAGCTGTTCTCTATCATCATAAATAAATAATAAAGACACATTTACATGATGTGGAAATGCTCTGACATTTCCACAACCATAGAGACCTACGGTAGAATACACTAATATGAACTAAGGAAGGTACAGAACGAGACCTGCAAAATCTAATTACAATGAAGAAAAAGATGTTATTCACATTTTCTCACTTCATCTTGTAATAGCTGAATATACAGGAAAAGACTACCATGCACGTCTGCAGTTTGGTGGTCATATATCACTCCAAGTATCATCATCGCCACCCTCATCACTGGCCACAGCCTGATAACACGGAACAAATCATGAGGAAACAAAAGAGTAGCACAAAAGGTAACATGACGGGAAATCAGCACCATACCAACCTGCCGGATAGCATTTGCTTTCTCCAAAATTGCTACAACGTTGGAATTGGCTGTAGATTGTGATGAGCCATCTGTCTTAGATGCATTTGTTCGTCTTAAATTGAAGGTCTGCATGACACAAACATAGTGACCAGTTGGTTAAGCCTTACACGGAGGGTTTCTGCTCTTAAATATGGTGAGCATCACATCATGCCAACAGCCAAACAAGAATGAACAAGAATCTAGAAATTTCGAGGTACAGAGTTCAACAAACTGTTAGCAAGTACAACGATCTACATATTCAAGGTACCTTGCTCCTGATTTGCTGAAGCAAGTCCTCCCTTTCATCCAAGCTTTTAATGTCACCGCCTACTGCTTTTTTTGACCTTTCATGTCCATTGTTAAGCTTCAGCTGCTCTGACTGTGATAATTCATTAGGCAAAATGAATAAGATAATCATAAATATTATGCAACGATCAGAAACTATAAATTGGTAATGAGCTTCCTAACTTCAAGAATCAACTGGTCATTACTGGGACTTGTATTTGTTTTAGTTGACAAAATAAATGGCCACAGGAATTCTGTACTGCATGGTTAACATGTGACAAACAGTGTTGTGGGTCAGATAGCTTTTTTGAATCACAGTTCATCAAATTCACGGTAAGCATTCCATTTTGTTATCCTTTTGGGTCAATTCAACAGCTATATGAATATACTTTTATAAAAAAAAAAGTGAGATCTCTCAGATCCAAAGATGGTCCACATTTGTTTCTTGTAAGCTACTCCCTTCGTTCCAAATTATAAGGCGTTTTGGCATTTCTAGGCATCTAGATATATACTTATGTCTAGATACATTCTAAAATCAATGAATCTAGAAAAGCCAAAACATCTTATAATTTGAAACAGATGGAGTACTTTTTTATAGTAAAAGTAAAATAGCCAAAGTTCGGCTAGGCGGCGATTCACGCGCCTTAGTCATTGGCGGCTCCCGTCGCGCCGCGACTAGGGGCATAGTCGCGCATCACGGCGCTAAGCGAGCTAGGCGGCCGTCGCGACCATTGCCCCTTGCAGCCGTCGGGCGCTGACCAGCGCGTCGCCAACCTCGGCCGTCAGGCGGCCACAGCATGCGCGATGTGCCCGCTCTGGCTGGCCACGGCTCTCGGTGGACACCGCACCTCCCACAGCTGCCGCTTGCTGCCCTCACCACGCCGGGCGCTGCCTCTGGTTGAAGCCGCCCTGCTCTGCTTCACTCGGGAACCAGTAGCGCCCTCTGCTCCTCCTCGCCGCCTCGCCTTCGCGCCCTCTGCTCTGCTCGCCGCCCTGCTCGGCCAGGAACCAGCGGCGCCCTCTCTTCTCTGCTCGCCGCCCCCTGCTCTGCTTCGCTCGGGGAACCAGGTGCGGCCCTCTGCTCTGCTCTGCTTTCTCTTGGAGCAGAGGAGAGCTCCGTTGCCAAAACGCCTAGGCAAACGCCTAGGAGCGCCTAGGACCGAGTACTCCCGACTAGGCGCTAGGCAATGGGTCAGCGCCTAGATTCCGCCTAGCGCCTAGCTGAACTTTGAAAATAGCACTATAAAATCATAAAGAATAACATAGGTTTTTTTCAATTGAAAGAGCAGAACAAACCTTATCCCTGATCTGCTGAAGCAAACTTGATTTTATATCAATGATACTAGGAGGATTAGTAATTTCTCTTACTCCACCAGTTTTCTGGACATCCTACATATACCAAGTAGATAATTTCATTAACGAAATATAACAGCAGTAATTATTTATTACTGCAAGTATTCAAACAGGATCAGCCAAATAAACAGTCCATACCACTTCCTTAGCATTGCCTTGTAGATCCAGTGGTGCAGTTGGAGGAAGGTGTTCTTCCTGGGCAGAGGTGTGTATATGTGGTAGGCTTGAAGTTTTCCTGAGCATATCTTTAGCTGTAATGCATGTTTCCTCTTCTAGTGAAGTTGTTTGTCTTGTCATCCTCCACTGCATTGGGGGGAGAGGAGGTGGTGGTGGCAACTGATCTTCATCTGGTGGCAAATTCACGGATTATGTGGAATGGAGGTTTCACCATTTTGATCATCGCTTCTGGACATCAATGTGTCAAAGTTTGGAAGTTCTTCAACAGTACAGGATTCTAAAGTGCCTATTACATTCTGATCCCCAACATTTGCAAGTGAAATATCTGACTTCATGCCAGATAAGTTCATCTGCTCGAATCCCATGTAGCTAGATAAAGGTGCTGTTGAGGATCCTATCTGATTTGAATCATCATACAACTCATGTTCCTCCAGCCCAACTCCATCTTCTTGATCCCACGCCTCAGAGTTTGAATATAGTCGTGGACTCAGATCATCATATGAAGAATAACTATATGACCTACCAAAAGTGTCATCTTCAGACTCAGAACCGCTGCCTGGCTGTGGAATGGAAGACTCTGAAAGTAACTGAAATGTCGGTAACATAATATCATTAGAAATTTCATGAAGATTGCCATCACAGAAATCTAGGTTCAGCTTTGACGTCTCAAGTGCACTCATAGGGTGAAAAGATATTTTCATGTACTCAAGTGGTGGAGACGATTTCTCAGAGTAATGGCGGCTAGAAAAGATTGATGATTTGGTCAATCCATCCATTCCATTTTCTGTTTTGTTCTCAAACTTAGTTTCCTCTGCAAATATCGTTTCACTTGGTTCTACAACAGGATTTAGAGTAGATTCATCTTTTGCACTTGTATCAGCATTCGCCCTCTCAGATGACATAGGAAGATCAGTATATTTGGAAGAAGTTCTTCTCTGAAGTGTATTAGCAAGAAATCTTTGTGCAATGCTTGAAAAGCTTGATGCAGACACCATATGCATGTTATTACTCATGTCAGTTGAGTATATTCCGGGTGCCAGTTTCAGCACTTCCTTCAGATTCTAGAAGCTCACTTATTGAAGTATGCTTGCCAGTCATGTTATTGTGCTCAAAGGATGAGGAAAAATCTGAGTGCCCATCTGTATGACTATGAATTGGATCGGGTATTCTGGCTGCTGATTGATTGGCCCCTGAGTTATTGAGGTTTGCAGAACCAGGACGGATACCAACAAGATTTTCCACAAAGCTGCTGGTAATTGACGTGTTTCCATTTGGAACATCTACAACTGCTGATTCAGTTGGCTTTGAACAGTGCAATTCTGTGAATTCAGTGGAATGGACCGGTTGAGCTTCTTTAAAACCAGGTGGAGTATCCTCCCTTGGACCATCTTGGGCACCAAATACTGGAGGTTTAGATGGTTCAAGTCCAAAGAGCCCAGCATTTGTCCAGAGTTTAACAGATGGTACAACAGTAGACGTGGTAGAGGCATTTGCAGGAACACCTTGAGTTGCACATCTGTTCTCCATTAGTTCATTAAGAGGCTCACTCCATGAACTAGACACTTCACTGGCACCAGCAGACATAGTAGAGGTATTTGTAGGAACATCTTGAGTTGCACATATATTATCTGATGGTTTGTTAAGAGGCTCACTACATAATTCAGACACTCCAATCACACCACAATCACCAACTCCCTCATGGCTCTTTCCAGCATAATCCTGAGGCCTGCTTTCAGGAATAACACATGAGTCATCAGAGTGATCACCAGGTGCCATCTTGAAACCCACCTCATCAACTACCATGTTGGCAATGTTAGGTCCGGATACAAAATTATCTGTGGTACCATCGATAAGATCACCAACACTTTCTGCATCACTTTCAAGGTTTTCGTTGGCAACAGCAGACTCTTTATTGGACGGAATAACCATACAGGTGGAGAAACCTGGTTGAGGAATCTCGGGAAAGTACCCAAGATCATCGTCTGGCTTACTCTTGGGTATTTCATTGCAAACAGGGGATCCAGCATTGGGAAGTATGGCTGAATGGACCTGCAGAGGCTCTATAATCTCACAAGGATCTCCGCGAGCACCCTCTGCACCACTCTCATGGATATTAGTGACGACAGATGACTCTTTATAGGGACTTACAGATGTATAGTCTGAAACTTCTAGTTGTGAGACCTCAAGAGAATGTGCATTTGACAAACTGGGAAAATCAATTGCTCTTTCTGAAGTACAAAGAATATCAGATTCTTGGCATGTGTCAGTAAACTCAGCAACATAGGAATCGGGACACTGTGGAACAATATTATCAATTGCCCCCACTTGAGGTGCTTCAGCGTTGAAGGAAGGTGCTGGCACCCCTTGATTCTTAGTTTGAAATTCAGATTCAGTTTCTGTCTCAGATTCAAGTGTATTAAGTGCATCCATGTAGTTGTCGGCTTCTCCTGGAATGTCACCATGGTGGTTCAAGACTGATGGCACTAACAGTGATTTTGTCTTTTTAAGTAAGGCATCTTGCTGCTCCAAGGCATCCATTACCTTGTGGCCAGTTTCTTTCAACACAGAGCTAATACATGTAGGTTCTGCATCTTCAGCCTTATCCACAACAACATCGTCACAGTAGACAGAACTTGTAGACATGATAATTGCAGCCTTTTCATCCCATTTAACATAAGGTGATCTAGCAACCATATCACCTGGCGGGGAACCTTGCTTCAAATAGTCACTATGATCATCCACGCTGGTGCCGTTAAGTAGTATGCGCGAAGGCAGACCACCAGGTTTGTGCAATTTAGTATCCAATGACTTGCCATGGCCATTCTCATGAGGAACTGCAGAAGGTTTTGCATCGAAAGCTTGTTCTACTGAACTCAGTTGTGTCTTCGAACTAAGAGAAGAAGATCTGCTCATATTGTCAGGATTAGATCTTGCGTCGGGTGTAGACCTATGCTCTGAGATGTTCTGACCATCGTTGCTGGGAGATGCAAACTGCCTGCTGGAAAATAAACTATTAACAATGATGTTCTGGATGCACCATTCAAATATAAGAAGGGAATAGCCATAGAAGATGAACTGGATACACGATTATTGTATCTTAAAGTATGGAATGTGCAACACCTGTTAACAAGTTGGCCAGCAGTAAGTGATCGCTGAAATTCAGTGCCCCTATGCCTAGATGTGGCTTGCCCATGATATGGCTCCCTTAGTCGTGACCCTTTTCTCTGTATAAGTTCATAAGCTCTATTAAGTCTTTTGGCAAGTTCCCAACATGAAAAAAGATTACTAAGCACTGATATCAACTTCAGACAGTGAGAATGAAGAATATAACCTTAATTTTCTGCGATCTCTTTTCTCTTTGTAGATTAGCAGTTTTGTCTGCTCTCGTCATATCCCATGCTTTCTTGAAATAGGATGGATCAGAATATCTCTTTACACAAGCCCCCGCGCCAGCAGTATCAAATCTGGAAGGCAGTAATTTTAGATACCAAAAAATGTTTATTAAGGAAAGTTCCAGCACTTACTTATCAAGAAGGTAAAGCCGTGGTGGATCTCGGCATTCTTCATAGGAATCCATCATAAAACGAGGCAGATCACTCTCTAGCAGGTGATTTTGCTCATTTTGAAGCTGAGTGTGCCAATCAGAGCCTGTGTTTTATCAGTAAAGTCAGTAAGATTGCAAGATAATCTTGATATCAAAGAATTCAAGATGGACAAGAGAGACATTCAATTACTAGGATGGACTCTCATGATCAGGGTACTTTTAGACATCGATGAAGTAAATAAATAATTACCCGGAACATAGGCAAAATGTATGTGACTCTTCTGATTCTTCACAGCTTTTTCAAGAGATGGAAGTGCTGCTTCAATGTTCTGTACTCGAGTCAGCACCTTACGACCCCTGGCAGATGTAGCTATAACTTGCTCGTGTAGATCATGGAAAACATCAGCCGCAAATCTGGTATGACCAAAGCAGCACATCAATTTCACCAAATACTATTTATGAAAAAAAATATTAGTATATCAAGAAACACGGTACGTAACTAAAACTGTGTAGAGCATTTATACAACGGGAAAAATGATAGAAGCATTAACAGACAAACAAACGCCTCAGAGTGGCAATGGTTTTTCCCTAGCAAGAAACGGCAATTACCAGAACCCATGGAGATTCTCCAGCCAAAATTAGCAAAGAACCCTCGAGACAAACATTAAACAACATCAAGCCAGCCAAAATGAATCCAGTCAGCCACTAAGCAACCTAAAACAGGCCTTTCAGAACTAACTAGTTGCTCATATAAGATTAAAAAGAGACTTTCCGCAAACATAAATTCTAAGCTAAGACAAGATCTTACCTAAGACCTAGACGTCATACCCGACACACAATCAATTAGCACTAATTCAGCAAAGCACGAGCCACTACCAAGCGAATGCGGCCAAAAACCGCCTGAATGATCCCAGCAGATATAGCTGTTATCCCATATGCCGCTCCAAAAACCTGAATTGCACTATCCAATCCAGTGCTAACACTAGATCTCAGAAAGCACAGAACCCGAACACCGCCGCTGCTACAAAAGGACGCTCAATTCCTTCCAGACAGTGCCACAATTTTCGATAGCCGGCACACAGAAACACTGCTCGAACAATTCCAATTCCTATGGCACAGCACTGCGCTCATTCGCCCTAAGCGAATCAAACCACCTGAACGGCAGATCCCACTACTTCATCCCAGTCCAGTCCAAACCACAGGCCGAGACCAAACACCCCAACCAGCGCCGAAGTCCCCGCCGGGAGCCGATAGAAACGTAGCGCAGCAGATCCCAGCCGCCGGGAACCAGACCACGAAGAGACGCGCACGGCCGCCAGCTCGAAGCGCGCATAAACCGGGCAGAACGAGGCAGCGAGGGAGCAGGGCCTTACTCCGCGAGATCTCCGAGCTGGCGCAGGATCCCGACGAGACCCGCGACGGCGACGCCCTCGAGCAGCGCCTTGGGCTCCTCCTCCCCCGCGGCTGAGACGGCGGAGGAGGCGGAGGCGGCCCCGGCAGCAGCGGCTCCGCCGCCGTAGAGGCCGGGGTCTCCCAGCCCCACCTCATTCCGCACCTCGAACCTGACCAGCGGCATCGTCCTCCGCCTCCTCGTCACGGTCACGGCCTCGGCAGCCGCCCCCTCATGCAGCCGCTGCGCTGCGCTGTGCTCGCCGACGCGACGCCGCAACGGCTACTTTATTTTGGTGGCGCGGAGGGGCGGGGAGTCGGAGTCGGAGCAGGTGCGCCGCGTCAGTCTGCCGCCTGGCCTGGTTGCCGCCCCCGCAAGGAAGATGAGGAGGAGGGAAGGCACCAGGATGGCGGCTGAGGGAGTGTGAGCGTGAGGTGGACTGGAGAGCGGGAGGGGAGGAGGAGGAGGAGCGGAGAGGGGGGGCGCGTCGGTCTCCGACAAGGTGCGGGACGAAAGGGACGCGGGGAGGAAAAGGCAGCGCGGCGGCACGAGGGGTAAGTGGCGGTGCGGTGCGGTGGTAGGAGCGGGCGCGGCCGCCTGTGCTCTCTGTCGTGCGGGCGGGCTCCCTCTGGCCTCCGTCCACATCCACTTCCAGCGCCGCAGGTGGGTCGTGGGTGCGTTCGTGTGCGTGCGCTGGTGCGGCGGCTGTTTTGCTTGCTGTTGCGGTTTCTGGCTTTCTGCCTGCCATCCGTGCTGTTCCGGTGTTCCCCGTGGCGATGGGCTGAGCAGAGAGTCACCGTGGACTTTAGGACCTGTGAAGAAGAATCAAATCTCGGGGCATGCGATTTGCGCCACTGTTTGGTGGTGGGCTGGTGATGTCAGCTGCGCTGTCTCGACTATCGAGCGAAAATGTCTGGGGGCGGAGGTGGTGGTTCCACTGGGCGGTTCGTTTCGTGGCTGGTTCGCGAAGAGTTACGGCTGATTGTTTTGTGTGAGAGAAAAATACTGTTCTGGTTGAAAATTTATGATCGTTTACGATAAGCCACGGCCAAACGAACAGGCTGGAAAATCACTTTTGTTGATGCTTACACTGTTCACACAGGAGTGTTTCTTTTTATTACTCACAGGATTGTTGTATCTTTTTTCTTCAAACAGTGAGGAAAAAATAAACGTCATGTTCGCTTGAGTTATAAGCTGTACTTTTTTCAGTCAATGAATAATATTTTTCTTCACAATAAATCAGGCAACAGTACTTTCGGCCATGCCTTATCTGCTAGCGAACAGTGCAAAAGTGTACTATGTTTGTGTTACAGAGCTTGCTAAATCATTGCAGGTCCGTAACCAACCTGTGATTCTTTTGAGATGTCCTTGGGGGTGGCGGGATCTTATGTTAGATCTAATTATTTGATCAAGTGTTTACGTGAACGCTTTTGTACTTGAGGTCCGGCATAACTAATGATGGTGGCGGCTGAGCAGGTGGCAGCGGTTCTAGTTCTAGCTAGCTCAATGATCCCATGTAATCTAAAGGGAACACACGGGGCTTTCTTTGAGAAGTTTTCTTTTAATAAAAAAAGTTTGATTTGGTCTATATAAAATGGAACTAGTATTTTTTATGATGCATAATAAGTACATTTCATTAATCATAAAATATATTTTTACAATAAATTTGTTATATATATTTGATACGTCAAATTAAAATAGTCTAATTTCAAAAGCGTGTTATTTAATTATTTTGAGTGGATGGAGTAGGGAGTGTTTGGCTTCTCGACACGCTTTTTCGGCCTAAATAGGTTGATGCTTGGTTTAGCTTCCAAATATGGCAGCATCAGACTTTTCTAGTCGAAAACACGCCATGGCTATGGCGCTAATTTCTGATGCCATATTTTAGGCGCCGTCACACTGTGCGTGGCAGCGTTGTGGGTTGCAGTGGAACGTGTCCTAGATTTATTAGATTTCAGACCGGTCAAACACGTTTGGCAAAAGCACCTTACAGGTGACACGGCCATACAACACAATGATCCTCGCCCATAGCAGGTGTAACAACCCAAAAATCTATACACTAAAAATCATAACTACAAAATTTTTTTATTTAAATCTTATGTGATGTTGAGTGACACGTATAGGAGCTAAACCCTAGTTTTGGATTAGATGTGACCCAACTAAGTTAAAATCATAAGCATAGCTTGGTTTTATGCCACATGTGTAATTAAATTCCTAAATAAATAAATCATGCATACATCCTTAATTCCACTTGTGATTTGGATTCTTTTGCCTTATGTGATGTTTAACTAACTTACTTAATATTTATGATAAACCCTAAATAATTAATTATTTGTTGGAAAAATAAAACACCCATATATAAAAAACTTCAACTATTTTTACCCAATAATCCCTAATATATGGGATGTATTTTGACCACCATTTGAAACACCTTGTGGGACCCACTACATAACTCGAACCTCAAGTTTAAACGCTAACTAAATTTGAATCAAGCAAAAAGAAAGAAAAGAAAAACGAATGTAAAAAGAAAAGAAAAAGAGGGAGAAGCGGCCCTAGGCACTGCTTGGCCTTATGAGCCACCGCCTGCCTCGTAAGCCCAATTAGCCTAGCCAAGCCTCGCCGCCCCTTTCACGCGCAAGATAGCCCACGGTGACTCCAGTTTGCAAGCCGCTGCCTTGACGCCACGACAAGCCGGGTCCGCTTTGGCAGACCATCACGCGCCCAGACGCAGCCCTAACGCGCTAAGCGCTGACGACCCGACCCGCTTTGTCGGCTGACAATAGCGTCTTCTTTCTCTCGCCACGCGTTTCCCCCCATGCACCGGGGACCGACCAAATGGTAAGCGCGTGAGTCAGTCACGAAGAAGCATGACCTGTTCCCCTTGCGTCGCGCCTTACGCTATCAAGACGCGGGCCGTCGGATCGCCAGACGATCACCACCGCCCGATCGCCGTCCGCCATTAGAGCCCTTGGGCTCGGCTATAAAAGCCAACGCCATGAGCCCTAACCTCAGCCTTGCGCATGCCGCCACCGGTGGCACAAACACCACACCGTTAAGCCGAGAGAGAGGAGGAGGAAGAAGCAAGGAGGAGAAGGAAGCCATGCTGCGAACCGGACCTCGTCGGAGCCGGGGCGCCGCCCGATCACCATAAATGACGAGGCGCTTTCGACGCACGCATCATGCATCGCCTCATCACGGCCTCGCCTCGCCACCGCACCGCCATCCTACCGCCACGAGCCCTACGGCGAGCCACGTCGTTCGCCGTTCACCACGCTAGTCGTACTCGCCATGAACGCCACCGCGTTCCCACACCTGGGGAACACAGAGGCGGAGCATTCCCGCTCCTAGACACGCTACACACGCACAAGCCCAAGGCCTGGCCTCGCCGACCCCTAACGGCTCGGGAACACCGGCTCGACCACCCTGCACGCCATGGCCGAGAGCAAAACCATGGCGAGACCACCGCGTCTTCTACGTCACGGTAAAGGCAAGTTGACACCCTGACTGGCTCCGCCATGACGAAAGACACACCGCGCTCACCTTAGCCGAGGATGAAGCCCATCGGAGCCCTGCGTTGCCGCACCGCACCTCGTCGGAGCGCCACTGCCTCCGCTTTGCCCCCACCACCGTGGCCGAAGGCGTTGAGAGCTCCCGGAGCCCCTTCGACCTGCTCGCCATGGCCGTAGCAGCGTCGGGGAGCTCGTGCGCACCACCAATCTCCGGTACCGCCGCCACAGCCACCATACCGCCGGCCGCCGGTGTCACGAGACCGCCCGCCACCGCTGCCACCCCCGAGCTGCCTGGCCACCACGTTAACTTCACCAGGGCACCCGCCATGGCAAGGCCAAGCTTTTGCCCACCTTAATTGCACACCCGCGCCGCTGGAGGGGCTCGTCGGTGAGCTCACCACCGGCGGGAGCACGCCGGGGAAGAAGATGGGGATTTTCCCCTCGTCGGCCACACGTCCGTGCACTTGGTGCACATGAATCGAACCCTGGGAAGGAGTAAGTGGACCAAGTCCTTCATAGACCGGCTCTGCGGTCTATGGACCAACGCAGGTGGGTTCACCATGAATCGCGCCTCACCTGTCAGTCACCGTTGACCGGGACCCACCTGTCAGCCGTAGTTTAGCTCTGATGACGCCATCCTGACGTCATGCCGAAGATGAGACCACGCCAGCGTCGGGGACCTCGGCGATCTCTCCGACCACTTCGGCGATCTTTCCGACCACTTCGGCGACCTCTCCGACCACCTCGGTGATCTTTTCGACCACCTCGGCGACCTCTCCGACCACCTCACCAGCCGATACCCCACTCCAAGCCCCTACATGCCATGTGAACCAGTCACAGTGTGACACGTGTCAGCCCTAAATCAATCAGCCTTCATTATTTTCATAAATGGATTTAATCTTCGGAAATTCATAACTAATTCATACGACCTCAGAAAAATTCAAGACCAGGACCAAAATTCATCTAAAATCGAGCTCTACGGAATGAACCCATATTTGAGTGTATTTAGCTCTTTTGAATTTTCATTGTCTCTTTGTGTTATTCTATAGGCGTCATAACGCAACTATAATTTGATCGTATGCGGACTCGGAGGAGAACCAGAGACGGATGAGGACCGAGAGTACCGTGAGAGAGTCGGAGACGACTTCACCGAAGGGTGCCACATCCCACCCAACCTCGAAGCACCTATTACGCATGGCTAATATAGAACTGCTATTGCTTTACTTTATTGTTATATTCACACTATGATAGGACTTGCATGGTAGTATGCTTACTTGATGGCCTTTACCTTGACGCAACCTTACCCCTGCTTACCCTGCTATTAGACTAGACACACGCTTGCTGCTATATTTTATTGCTTATTACTTCTACTACGCTTGTACTACATTGATGCGTGGTGGGCGGTGTTATCTGGACTACGGGAGAGTCTTTGCGTGTGTGACTTGGGTGCATGGAGGGTGAGGGTTGTGTCGACCAAGTTGGAATATCTGACGAGCCGGGGGCAAGTCTTGCCACGGGGTGCTACCTGGGCACCCCTAGAAATGGATACATGTGGTGGGTAAATGGTATATGAGGTGGCCCTGGGTGTGAACCTGTGATGGGAGGAGTCCGGGGTGGAGGTGCTGTGGTGGCACGGTAAATGAAAAACCTAATGAAGACATTACGGCTTGGTCATCC